TGGACCTTTTTTTTTTTTTTTTTTCCTCTGGGGTGCCGACGACCTCGACCGGTAGGTGTCGACCAGTCGGGGGGGGGGGGGGGGGGTTGTTGGGGGGTCTGGACCTTTTTTTTTTTTTTTTTTCCTCTGGGGTGCCGACGACCTCGACCGGTAGGTGTCGACCAGTCAAGGACTGCCGACCGTCGGGGTATGCAACACTGGTTTTATTCATTCTGCAATTCTGTATCTGTCTGTCTGTCTGTCTGTCTCTCACAGAGTTTACACACGTATGGGAATGTCTTGCTTTGTGAGTTTTTTCCAAGGAAGGAATGGGCTTTATCCATTCTGCAATTTTCCACCTGTATCTTTCTCTGTTTATGGCTCTGTTGTCTCCCAAGGGCCAGGGAACGTTATTGTGAGCATTAAGCAGTTGTCCTTGTTGCTAATTCAGTTTCGGGGGTTGGGTGGCTGGGGGTCAAATGAATGTGGGAATTTTGTGGGTAGGTAGGGGAGTTGACTCTGCCAGAGGCTTTCCGGAAGATTCTTGTTGTGGTGCAGTTCATCCGGGAGCATATCATGGGAGGCAAACCTGTGCGAATGCGGCAGCTTGGTCGAACTCTCTGGCCGAGGCTAGCAGAAGCAATCATCAAAGGCCCACTAGGGAAGGTACGATCGCAAATACAACACACTCCTATGGCTACGTGTTCATCACGCCTTGGTGCACTGGTAGTGAAATGGTTTTCACCCCTTTTGCAGTAGCGGACGCAGATCCCAGGGTTCGATCCCTAGACCTTGCCTTATCTGTGTACAGTACCTGTGTAGACCCCGAGAGTCGAACCTGTGACCTGTGTGTTTGCAAACAGTTGGTAGGCTGTCATAGGTCCGTAGGTAGCAGAGCGGTTCGATCTGTAGATCTGTAGGATAGAAGTCTTAGCGAGTCCAGAAGTCTTAGCTGTAGTCTTTCCAGAAGGTTGGCAAGTGGTCAAGTGGTGAGCCAAGTGGTCAAGTGGTGAGCCAAATGGTCAAGTGGTGAGCCAAGTGGTCAAGTGGTGAGCCAAGTGGTGGACTAAACCGCAGTGCGATTGCAGTATGAGTCCGGTGGGATAGCAGTGAGTCCCCGTTCAGTCAGCGGTCAGGTCCAGTCAGTCCCAGTTGAGTCCAGCAAGTACCACAAGGGACTGTGAGCACCATGGGCCGATGGCAAAGGGCAGACCAACGAGTTTCAGAAGTATAAATCACAAGAGGCAGCGCCCAGCCATTCATTCATTCCTGCGTGAGCCGTGCGGAAGCGCTGCCACAGCGACTTGTGCAAGGAGGTCTGCAGAGAGCCCGGAGCTGAAGTGGGCGAGAGAGAAGGAGCGTAGCATAGCGATAGGGTAGTTGCGGCCATAGACGCCATAGCTAGAGTGTGTGTGTGTGTGTGTGTGAGTTCAGAGAGTCGCGTGGGATATCCAGGGTGATCCGGTGTATGTGAACAGTGAGTTGTTTGGGGGCTGAGTCGCCATAGCCAGTTGGAATTGAACTCGTATCTGGATGCCATATCTCTGAGTTTTGAGTGGCCGCATGTCGCCAGTTTGCTGCACTACTGTTTACATGCATGAAAAGTGTGAATGAGAACGAGTCTGATTGCATTGGTATCGAAGCTGGTACCCGCTATTCCATGCGCGCCGTCGTGTGCAGGGCCTGATGCGCCTCAGCTGAGGTGGCCGCCAGAAGAAGTCGTCCGCCATAGCGGACCGAGAGGTTGCAGAAGCCGCCGCGCACCTGCAGGAGAAGACCACGTCGAAGAAGAAGACCGAGAGAGAGAGAGAGAGAGAGAGAGAGAGAGAGAGAGAGAGAGAGAGAGTAAGGTTGAGCGATTCAAGAT